GGAGAGATGGAGGAGAGATGGAGGAGAGATGGAGGAGAGATGGAGGAGAGATGGAGGAGAGATGGAGGAGAGATGGAGGAGAGATGGAGGAGAGAAATAGAAGCTGAGAGAAGCAAAAGACCATGGTAGTACTGTTTGATGGTAGTAAGTAATTAAGGAGTGAATTAAAAGTGAAGATATGTCTATTAAGGCAGATAGTAATGAATAATGATTAGTATATCTCAAGTTACTATTATATATCTAGAGTAAACTGTAATAAGCTATTCCAGTATAGTTATTGAAAAAGTTGTTAGTTCAATCAAACCTCATATAATCCTCAAAGGGCTGTCATTACTCTCTCTCTTTTCTGCGAAATTGACGTCTAGATTTCTTAAGGCTTCTATCGCTGCCACAAGATTATTCCCTCTTGTTCGATCACTGGGACGTGGGTGATCCTAGACGGTCCCTTGGATGTTCCAACTTGGATAACCCAAGGAGTCCGAATGGAGGTATGAATGCATGAGTTTGGTAATGCGGAGTGACTCGTGGAATCATGTAAGACTCCGTTTCATGGGCAATAGATTCTTCTCAAACGATTAAGGCTAGAATATCCGTCAGGTATCGATTCTCATTAACAGACGAGCAAATCCAGAGTCAACGCTCTTAGCAATCATATCAAGCCAACCCCATTAACAAGATCCTCTACTGGTTCTTGAAGATAGCCTCGTTATAGTCGCTCACCAACTTATCCACATCTTCCTTTTTCATCCCCATGTCTTCTCTTCTCACGTTGTTCCTCTCATACCTATCCCGAACCAAAGATAGCAGCTCCTCTTGTAGGCTTCGTAGCTTAGCTTCTTCTTCAGCCGTTGAGAACGGAGCCTCTCGGCGACTTGGCAGGCTGCATTCGAGCGACCATTGTCGCTTAATAGCCATGTTATCGTCCAAAGCAAAATCATACCCAAGGCACACGGGGCAGGACAGGTCATCCCCACAGCTACCAAAGAGGTCAGGCCATATCTGCTGACAGCCGCGGCAAAACCACCCCATCGAACCGCAATAGGGGCAGCGGCCGCCGAAGTAATACTTGAGGACATCACTACCGAGAGTGAGTCAGAATTCTAAAACATAGGACTCAAAGAGAATGGAACTTACCGCCCATGAGGCCGAACTATCAGGTTGGTTTCCCCGTCCCCTTCATTTTGGGATTTGAAGCGCTGAAGGAACGTCTCCAGGCTCTCTTCCTCGTGGATGGTGTGATCTTCGCACGAGCAGTACCAAACATGTTCTTCCTCGTGAGTATCTTTATAGTGGACGTTTGGTCCGTTTAAAGTCCAATATCCCTTGGATTTGGGGATGTGCCAGTGCACGTGCTGCACCATAAGGCGGGTTGCGCTTGAGCTTGGATCTTGTCTGGCTGAAGCAGACTTGACAATGAGCATGGCTGCTGCTTTGGGTGTGTATACCAAGATCAGGTCGCCTTCTTCTACGTCCTGGGGTAGCTTGTCCATTTTGGCGAAGCGTGTGGCGTTCTGGTGTTGAGAGAGAAGTGAAATTGGGAAATGGATAGAGTCAGATAACTTAGGCAGCAGGTGGATATCAGGAATCTTGTGGTATTGATGACGTAGAGTGTCGCTTAAGGAGCCAGGGAATTCGTCGCACGAACTTGCCTGATAACTATCAACTACAATTATTTCAGAAATTCAATCTACATTGCAAGCAAACGAAATACACAAGCCGGAAACAGCAGTGACAGAGGGTCATCCGGGAGTAGGATCTCAGCAGCAAGAGATATGGCCTAATAATCCCCTGTGGGCAGCCCTCCACTCGTAGGAACATGCTGGCCATGAAAGCCAAAGCCTACCGGTCCGTTGAGATGCGCTCTACCCAGCTCAGACATATCGCGGGCATCCAGACAGAGCAAGTAGCTTTTCCCGGCCTTCCCATCCAGCACAACACTCAGAAGGACGCCATCATCCTCATTAGCGCCCGCAGGCTCAGCGACAAAGATTGCTTCTCCAGGCGACTGTCCATGCTGTTTCCAGACAATAGTCTCTTTGGCCACGCTGTCGTATTTCATGATGCCATCGGAGAAAGTCGATTCGTGGCGGTCAGTCACGGCGTAGGTGTACCGATGCTTCTGCGTGACATATCTCGGGTTCAGGGTAGGCAGCTCAGGAGTGTACGCCTTGCATGCTGTCCAGTCGATTGACGCCTCTTTGACCTCTGACGTTGGAGCCGAAGGAATACCCGGAAGCCGGAAGCTGGTCACCGCTGAACGACACCCATCACGCTTGCCTTGGACAAAGGCCTTTGCGCTGGGGGACGAAGAAAGCATGTTCTCGTAGTAGAATTTCTCGAGTATGGCGAGGTCATCGAACATGACCAGGTTAGATTAAGGGAAAACCCACATGGACTGGCCCAGGATCCATACAGTGCTAGCTTAAGTCTGAGTGGGCATGTTATTTATTCGACTGGAGGCCCCCGTCAAAACCTTCTACCAGTACAAGAGCTGATGGGAAAGGTTTCATGGCTGTAGACTTCCATTGAGATTACTTTGACGAATCGAACGTATACAGAGTAGAATGAAATTTACTACGAGCGCTGCAAAACTGCTTCTCAATTTGATGTGGTGGCGTCTGATAATCACCTTTCTCTCTCAAAGCTAGGCAAAGCAATTATCGTTGGTTCCAGTATATTCGACGTCCCATTGCCTTCCAGACCACTTACCAAGCCTTTTGTGAGCCGTACGAATCGCCATTTCCACTAAAGCTATGCAAGTAGTTGGATCAGCACTGACTTCTGCGAATTCGCTGATTATGTGCTAAAACAGAATGGATCGCCCATACGGGACTGGGCGCGTTAGCGCCGTCCTTGGAAGCATGTCAGGGTGGTAAGGTTTCAAGCCATCCTTTACATATAGATGCTGGAAAACATGTACAACGGAGACAAGAGCGACCTTTTCGCTGATTCTCATCTTCAGCCATTAAAGCCTTCTACGACGTTATGGACACCAATGCGCTTATTGATCTCGTTCACGAGGTGCAGGGCCAGCTTTGGGTTGACAAAGTGAATGAGGCCTACCGAACGGGCCGTCTCTGCCAATGGGTGTCAACTTTCCATCCTGACAAGCTTCCTTGTCGACTTGATGGCACGTTTCATCATGGAGCATTTAATGCCTGCATGAAGATGGTCTTCAGCGACAGCACTGCCTGGATGGTTCGTTTTCCTCGTGTGGGGATGGTCTGTGATGCCTACACCGATGAGAAAGTTGCCATGGAGGTGACGGTCCTGAGTCTCATCCGCAACAGGACTACCATTCCCGTCCCAAGAGTCCAGGCGTGGGGTCTTGCTGCCAGCAACCCACTGGGTCTAGGCCCATTCATCATAATGGACTTCATTGACGGGGTGAGCCTTAGCGACCTTCTCCAAGACCCTAACACTGATCGGCCAAGCAGAGTAATGAGGGAGGACATCAGCGATGGTGATATTGAAGTTATCTACAGACAGTTGGCGAATTTTTTGCTTCAGCTTTTCAAGCTTGATTTTGACCAGATTGGTAGCCTGCCATCACCCCAGGCTGAAGCCCAAAGCCCTACACCACCACGGCCACTCACATTCAAGGCACATAGCATCCTACAAAATGGAGGAGTCGATGTTTTTGGTATGCTTTGTTACCTTTGTTTTTCCTTCTCAACCCTAACGCCCCTGATTGAGTCCATTAACTAAGTAAATTACACCTAGGTGACCAAGCAGAGGGCTTTACAACGACGACTGAGTATTTTCAATATGTTGTTGGCCAGGATTGGGAGCAGCTTGTTCACCAGCCAAACTCGACCGTTGGTTTATATGATGCTAAAAACAAATATGTAGCATTTAAGGTCCTAAGAAGTCTGATCCCTGACTTGGTCCACGCGAAGTACGACAGCTGCAAGTTCAAGCTGATTTGTGATGATCTCGGCTTGGCAAATCTCATTGTCCGTGGCAAGGGAGACCTCACTGTTGTTGGAGTAGTGGACCTTGAGTGGTCATACATCGGACCTGCCCAGCTTTTTGGCTCAGCACCGTGGTGGCTTCTCCAGGACAGGCCCGTCAACAGCACATGGGACTGCGAGGATGACGAGCCACCTATGATTGCCGCCCGGTATTTCAAATGCCTAGAGATTTTCATACGTATCTTAGAGGAGGAAGAGGCAAGAATGCCAGGGCATGAAGAGAGAGAGCTCTCCTGTCTTGTCAAGTGGTCGCAAGCCTCCGGGGCTATGTGGCTGCACATGCTCCTCTCATCAGGCTTTAATGACCATCGCAGCTTTCCTTTTACGCAGCTGCGCCGACATGTGGGGGATACTAAGTGGGCGAAGCGTGAGAAGGAATTTGACAACGCAGAAGAGCTTGAGGCATTCGCGGTGTGGAAGGTGAGCGAGTTGGATAAATATGACAGAGCCTTGGAAAAGGTGGAGGAGAACAAAGCACTTATGGACAGTGGGAATATGACAAAGGAGGAGTTCATTGCCAACGCTCTAAGAGAATCAGGCTGCATATCATGTTCCTCTTCGTTGGCGATCAACGATGAGATGAGAAAATGATGGGGGGTTTGTTCGACAAGGCGGCCTCGGAGCTTGCAAAGTGTGTCTCTTAATTGGGTAAATTTACGATTCTAAAGGGGGACAAGGCAGTCTTTTTGAGCAATATAGGGCGTTTGAAACCAGATTAGATAGATTCAGATCCAAGAAACTCACGGGTCTCTTCATGTCTCTTAAAAGAGCAAATCCACCCAAATTGTTTGCCACAGATCCCGCATTCCAGATTCCTTGCCCTTGCAAAGGGATATTTTAAGCATAAATAGGATTTATGATTGTTGCATGTCAAACTAAAGCTTTGAAAATGCTCTCTAAGGTAATCAAGTGAACGTTTATCGGCTGAATCCACGGAATCAGCCTTGCGGGGGAAAGCCGTCGGTGATGATTCAGTCCCGCGCCTCGGCCTCGGCGTAGGCAACCAGAATACCACATATCTTTTCGGCGCAGTCAACGTCCAACTTACTACGCCCATGTAGACAGCATATGCAAGATACGCAGAGGACTGGGGACTGACAATGGAGCAAAATATGAGTGCAAACTCCCTCGGTGGTCGTCGTTTGAGATGCGAAATATGTGCCTTCACGTTTCACCGCAGTGACCACCTCAAACGCCATCTACTCATCCGTAAGTGTGCATGCAAATGCATCAAGGCTTGACTGATCGGCTTAGATAAACCACCTAAACAATATCGATGCCAGTTCTGCAGCTCTACGTATAGTCGCGGGTAAGGCAGGGCTCATGCGTGCCGCGATCACTATACAACTAACGTTGTACAACAGGGATGTTCTTCGACGACACTGGGCTACGTGCGCCAGACGTCTGCAATCAGGACTGGAGATTCCCAAGGCGGATTCTGGAGGTAAACATAAGCACGCCTGCGATGCTTGTGCCCGTCTGAAAAAGGCGTGTAATGGGCTGCAGCCGTGTGCCGAGTGCGAGTCCCGCGGGAAACTGTGTTCTTATGAACGTTTAACTGGTGGTCAACCGACCCGGGCCAAACGAAGGGAGTTGACGTCTGTGTATTCGGAACAGCAGGACTGGGAGACGAAAGGTTTCGGGTATCAGACTCTACTTCCGTCAAAGCCGGCATACCTGAATTACAGAATCAGTGCAGGAGTATTGCCTGGGATATCAATCGGTGGCCCATAGTGTAGTATCTCAATACTACGAGGATAATACAGGCCAAGAGACCGAACCCCCGCAGATTCCCTCGTAGATGACCCCATTCGGGCCGGGGTCGAAATCAGTGAGTGCCGGTACCTTGCTTCCCCCTAGATGCCCTCATGCCTGCCTAGGTGCTTGTAGACTACTATGTGGATACCTGTCAGAAAAGCAAGCTTTGAATTCATACAATGTAGTAATAACACACAGGCTTCCGTAGTAGTACACAGCAAGGTCCTTAAGTGAAGTATTCTTAGCATTTCTTATAGGTATGACAGGCTTGAGCTATTGGAAGGCATGGCGGCAGCACGCAGCAAGATCCTCAGCCGTGAATGTTATATCTCTTTCCATCGTGTTAGGGGTGTGCGGGCGGCGCATGATGGATTCAAACTCTAGCTCCAGTGGAGCATTCTCAACACTTACTGAGGTAATGATAATCTCTTGGTCCGCTAAGTGAGGTCCTAGCGCTGTTGGGGAGCCTGTTTGATTAGATAGCAGAAAGTGCTCGACCTCTGCCTGTAGTCCACGCGTGATTCTGGGGGTGATAGGTCTGAGGTTGTAGACTTTCAAGATGACTCGCTCGGGGAATCTCTGGATATGAAAGAGTATGACCGTATTGACTTGGTAGCCGGAATTTGAAAACCACCAGTGTGCATCAGTTCGTAGTTGTGCTTCTGATTCAGAAAGACCAGTTTCAATAACAAGCGAAGGCCAGTCATTATCTTCGGAAGGATTCCTTGACAGAGTGAGAGACTCGTCAGCTTCTTTGTCGCATGTTCTTCCACTGTACCGGGAGGCTGTGTTCATAGTGTAATCATCTGAATCAATTCCCATTTTGAATAATTTCAGGACAAGACAGCATGTTGGCTAAACAGGGGTGTATAGCGAAAGAGAGATGAGGCAGAAGAAGCGAAGCAAGAAGGCTATTAACAAAGCAGGATGAGTAGTCATACATCCAACCACTCAGCCAAAAAGGCGTCCAGACAACCATCTCTAGCTAGTAGGGATAGTAGTAGTAGGGGCAACACGCAGGAACACAACAGCATTTATGGAGGGGAAGGTATGTTATTGATAAGAGCACCCCCGGCCCCGGCAGCAACATGAGGAAAGTCGGGCCGGGGTGGGGCCGGAAGCGGGCGGGGCTAGTTTATCCGGAAGCAGTACTTTGCTTATCGCTTATCAACACAATCTACACGACACTCTCCAGCCTATTTCACTAGAGAGGTACATCAACGCGCCTTTTTCCAGTTACCAAATCAAATCATTCAGTCTGTGTTAGCGCAGAGAATACCTATTTAGTGCATTATTGTCGTTGTCGCTATCTAAACTCCAACTGAGAACAGCGTCTTCCTGCTCCGTTAGATCCTTGTCTTACCAGCTCCCCCAAAATGGCTGACGAAATACCGACGGCGTCCAGTTAGGACATCGACGACTCTGATTTGTCAACAGCCATGTCAGAAACAGATACTGTGATATTTACAGAAATGCCAGATGACGTCCAGGCGATACTCCGCGGCTATGAGCCCTCAGATACTAGCGATGACGCGGTGCACGTCCTTCGCGAGACTTTTAAGTACCTACCTGCTGACGGGAGACGCAACCTTGCGCAAGACATAGTTCAGGCTGGAGCGCAGGGCAAGTTAAAGCAACTTGCACAAAGCATAATCACTGGCCTCCTGACACCCCTGAAGGTTGCTGGGGATAAGACAGCGGAGGTTACGCCTTCGCCGCGAATTGGCTTGGAAGACTCGCTAGAGAGTCTTACTGCTATGACAGACAAGTCCATGACACGTGCGCAACAGCAACAGCTCCGAGAAGAAGCACTATGGAGAGATGGCAACAAATGCGTAATCTCTGGCGAGTACGACGTCAATCTAAACGACGAGTATCCCGACGAGGTCACGGCAGACCTCGAGACAGCGCACATTATACCTTTCGCCATTGCGAAATTCGACAACGATGCTGAGCGCCAGCGGATGATAGTTTGGGTGAATATGTTCCGTTATTTTCCAAGCATTCGGTCGAGGCTCAACTTCCACTACGATCAGATCAACTCATTGACAAATGTCATGATGTTGTCAGACATGATCCACAAACAGTTCGGACGGTTCAGTCTGACACTGGAACCAACGGACACCCTGAATCAGTATCGGTTGAAGACATTCCCTAGTTGCACCAGAAATTTAAGATATCATCTTCCAAAAAGTGGCGTTGTCAATCTTATATGCCATGACGGACGCTATCCTTTACCGTCCCCTGAATTACTTCAGCTTCATTGTTCCGTGGCTAATATACTCAATGCCACGGGAAGGGGCGAGAAAATTGACAGAATTCTGCGAGACTATGTCGCCACTGGCGCACTCGCCCGTGATGGAAGCACTAATATCTCGGAGCTGTTGTCTGTGAGTAAACTCATGTTGTTGCCCACGGTTGATGAGCGCGGCATGAACTAGAAGTCTGGAAGAGCAATGTTCAGTGATACGCGCAAGAGTCCTACTTTAAAAACAGAGAGCGATGAATCAAAAGAGAATAGACCAGAGTGCTAGTTGCTGGCACAGGTGGTTTAACAGCGAAGATACTCCAATACCTTCAGTCTGAATTCGGGGAGCGACTGTATCTGCAGTACACAGGAAACGAAGCTAAACGAAAGGAGCATGCAAATTAAACCTTGACCCAATAGTCACGCAAGCCGTCGTTCTCAATCCGCCTCCATTCTCCAATATTCCGGTCTTCTTCCGCCTTGCCCATCTCGTTTGGTTTGTTGCCAAGGCCCAGATTGTACGGTCGGTAGCTTGGGTCAGCTCGCAGCCGTCGAATGACACTGCCGTGAATTTTGGCATCTTTGGGAAGCGGCCTTCGCGAACCTCTTGCATGCCATCGAGTCATACGGACCGAACCATCCGGCGTGATCTTTGGTCTTTTGAAGGGGATCCACTCCAGAAGTCTCCAGAAGAAAGTCTCAGTTGGTCTCCCACTATCATAGTCGAGGGAATCGTGGATCTGAGCGCGCTCAGCCTGGCGTACGATGTCCAGACCGTTTTCACTTGTTGCTGGATCTTGGCAGCCGAGCGCCTCAAGCTTGTCGCTTTCGAACGTAAGCCCCGCCTTGATGGCTTCCTGGACCATCCATGTCAGAGGGATCTGGCTTGTGGGCCAGGACTTGCTCGGCCAGCCTCCCCCAACGTCGCCATGGTTTCCGGCGAAATACACCTCCTCAAAGTCGGCCTCGAGCACTGAGGATTCACCGTCGTTGTCCGAGTCGTAAATGTTTTCGGGCCCTTTCTTCCAGTCCTTAACGCTTTGCTTCGTGTCCGGTGATCCCGTGCCCAGCTTGCTCTCGAAGAGTACGGGCTGGAATTTGATTCTCCGCTCATCAATACTGACAGCGTGTCTCATGATCTTCGGGCTTGGCCGCGTGCTGCTCTCCCTGTTAAACTCGGCCACACTGTTGACCGTATCGAACAAGCCCAAGAAGTGGACTTGCCCCACGGGTCGACACATTGTCTCCCGACTCACGCTCAGGCATCGCATTGCACCCAAACGCTCCTCTTTATCCTCGCCCTCGGAAAATTTCCACTGCGTGAACGCCTCCCAGACGAACGGGATCAGCTCCTCGTTGTCTGCAGAGAGGAGGCCGATATAATCGAGCATCTCGTTCAGGAATCGAGCCGTGTAGGCGCCTCGAGAGAAACCAAAGAGGTAGATCTTGGCGCCTGGTACCCACCGGCGCGCAAGGAAGCGGTAGCCCCGAATAACATGCTGATCGAACGAGGTCGCAAGCGCAAGGTCAAAGGCCTTTGAAGTCCATGACTTGCCGCTGCGGCGCAGGACGGCATGAGCGACCGATCCTGGCGTTATGTCTGACCCAATGCCAGCTGCGCCAGATTAGCTGCTGTCATTTGATGTTGGTGACATACATACGTTGGTAGTAGCAGTCTATGCCCGTTAGCGCGACATCAATGATTGGGTCCAGGATAGTACTTGCATCGATTCTCCTTGGTTCGATCCAGCATTCGAAAGATCTTGAGGATGTTACTCTCGCCGCCGTCTGCACGAAAAGTATTTCCCGTGCCGTCGAAACACAGGACGAGCTCTCGCGTGGGCGCGTCACTCCCGTATTCGGAGTCTTTGTCTGTCATGTCGGTAGCGCTTATAGATGCACAAACAATACAAAGGCTAGAGATTGTAATTGGGATTTCTATCTGAAAACAAGTGGGATCTACGAATATATAAGAATCAACTCATTTGAAGCAGTGACCCCGTGAGCGACGACGCTCAGCTTATAGGTGAAGGGCCTCATTTCCCAGGGTCAGCCTTGTCATGGCCACCAGCCCACCAGGCGGCCGCGGCGTACTACTATGTAGGTTTGCGCTAGGGTTGGCGTGCGTCAGATATGATTTGGCGGTTGAGTGGAGGCCAAATGGAGACCAAGTGCCAATCTTTACTTTATGATAGGGGTTTATGGAAGGTGTTTGTCGATCTTTCGTGTTGATCTTGGTAGCGGCGGTGATGCGGTTCGCGAACAGTGGAAACTTTTGAGATCCTGCAAATGATCAAGTAATGGCATAATATGGGCAATGGCAGAAAATCTGATCTATTAGTTGCAACTCGCATGTTACTGAGATGAAGGCAGGGCGTAGCTGAACAACTGTCCTTTGCAGGATTCAGCACGTCCCATAAGGTTCGACGCGCTGCGAAGTGCAGATGCGTGGCGCGGATCCTCTCTCAGCGCAACAAATCACACCGCCGGATGAGCCCAGCAGATGAAGCCTTCTTGTTGCAAAGGAGGGCCGGAAACTCGAGCTGAACAAGATGAGATTACCACTTGGTAGTGCTTAGTAGATCCATCACATGTACAGAGTGGGATGCCTCGCCAGCCTTATACCTCAGCTGCTTACGGAGTACCAACAATGTGGCCGTAGCCACTCAATGCCACTTAAGACATGTGTAAGACTGTAACGAGGCAAGGCAAAGTCAGGGACATACACCCTCACACACCAGAAACGGAAACTTCATCATCTCCCGCCTGCCATCCTCCCAATCCTCCACTTCCTTCTCCAGCGTCCACCCAACCGACACCTTGACCTCGGCGAATCCCACCTCCCGCATAAGATCCTCCATCCACCCGCGCGGAATCCCATGCCTCTCCACCCCCGCCAGCTTATCCTTGGGATGGAACAAGCGCGCCTGCGGCCCAAAGTCCTCGAAATCAGTTAGGCAAACCCGACCCCCGGACTTGAGACAGCCGCGGAGGGTGCTGAGGAACTGCCGGAGGTCGGGGACATGATGCATGACGAGGTGGGAGAGGATGAGGTCGAATTTGCGCCTTGCGCCTGTGCCGGGGCCTGTAGACTCGGTTGCGGACGCCGGGGGCAGGACTGGATCCTCTGGGTTCGTGAGTAAGTGGCAGAGCGGCGTGATGTTCTTTGGGGTGTTGGGGTCGGAGAGCTTTGCGTTTAGCATTTCGATCATGCCGTCTGAGGGGTCGATGGCGACGATGTGCTTGACGTGCGGCGCGACGCGGAGGGTGAGTAGGCCTGTGCCGCAGCCGACTTCGAGGACGTCGAGGGTTTGCTCGCCATTTGATAGAGTCGTGATGAGGGGGTGGAGGGTTTCGTAGGCTAGGCGGGTGGCTTCCTGTACGGAGGGGTTAAGGTCCCAGTTGGCGGCTTCGGCGTTGAAGCGGACGTTTCCTTCTGGTGGGTGGGCCATTGTCATGATTCAGAGATGGAGTTGCGTTAGAGACTTGATGATTATGATGATGGTGGTTTGTTTATGTCTGGTTGATCTGGAGACTGGAGTATCGTCCGGGTAGCACCGTAGTAGATACGCCAGTGCGGGGTCGGGCAGTGGATCTGAAGTCTTCCCCTCATGGTTCATCTTCATCAACCAAGCATAATTCGGTGCTTTATTATTATAGTGTATACCAGATCCATACTATGCATGATCTTTCACATGGATAAACCATGGTATCCGCAAATGAGATTTGAGACAAGACATAGACATGCCTCAACCTCGGTATAATATAACCCGCGATATGCTTACAGCCAGCCTCTGAGAGGAGATGATTTCACGTTCTATTTAAGAGACATTATTGGAACATGTTCTCTTCCAAGTGACAATCACGAAGGCTTCCTCAAGCAGACGGAGCTATAGAGTCCATTGCTTGCTGTGTTGATCATCGGCTACTATTTACCTCTCTCTTCCAGTCATTTCATCTTATCATTACACCTCAGAACCCACTCTACACTCGCAATAAGATGACCTCGTTCTCTTCTGTTACCCTGTCTCTCTCTATCCTACTGTCAGGCTACCTCAGCGCCATCTGCATAAAGCCTCCAACCACAACCCAACGATCCCCCTACGAAACCGACCGCATCCGCATCATCACAGGCAACGTTGCCATCAATGCAAGCCGCGCCGTCGTCCTCATCAGCGCTTACCACGCGCTCATCACCCACTTCTACTCACCAAACACCAATACCGGCATTCTGTCCAGCATCTGCCCTCACCCCGAGAATCTCAACCCAGAGACCCTCACCTGGAGTCCGACGGTGCTTCTCTCCCTCCTAGCCATCGCATCCGGCGCTGCCATCCGCCTCTCGGCGTTTGGAGGCCTAGGTCGGAATTTCACGTTTTATCTCGCGGTGCCGGACCGATTGGTTACGGACGGTGTATATGCGTATGTCCAGCATCCGAGTTATACGGGGTTAGCCCTTGTGGGGCTGGGGTGTTTTGGTCTGTGTTGTCGGTGGGATGGGGCAGTAGGAGCGTGCTTATTGAGTAAGAATGTGATTGAGAGGCTTGATGGATTGGGTATGACGGTGACAGGGGCGTTGGGGACGGTAGCTGTGGTGGGATTGGGGTTGAGGGTAAGGGATGAGGAGAGGATGCTGCGGGAGAAATTTGGGAGGGAGTGGGAGGGGTGGCATGCCACAACGGCGAGGTTCGTTCCGGGTATTTGGTAGATAGAATATCAATTCAGGGTATGATACTCCTTGACTGTAGATATCGGTGGAGCTGAAGCACAAAAAAAACAATGACATCATTGAATTGGAGATGACTGAAGTATACTTACCTCTACTACACGTATGAGTAGAGAGGTATGAACTAGGGACAGCATTATATTGACACTCGGTCTGAATAAGAAATTGAACGAGCCCAGCCTCTGCCATTCTTTTCTTCTGGTGTTCAAAATAAACGTGCGATGTACTGTAGCTGCCATCGGAGTTGGTCCGGTGGAGTCTCGTGCTCCAAGCGATCCTTCCCTTCAACTCTGCCACATCATCCCGCTTCCTTCATCCATCCTCGTCCGTCCTCTGCTTGGTTTGGTTTATTTCCATCAATTGAATTGATACCAACATGGGTATCTTCAGTCGCTTCCTCAAGCTAACCACCATCGGAGGCGCCGCTACTGTCGGCGGCTTCTTCTGGTACACGCGCAACGACGTCTTCGTGCCGCTCCCTCTATCTGATCGCATCTTCCACTCCGCCCGCTTCAACGCCCTCAATCCCCTGCGCAACCCCACCACCCACGATCTCTGCATCCGCAGAGTCCCCTTATCAGACATTGACCCCACCCTCCTCGAAAAGAAGGGAAAACTAGTCGAGGCATTCTGCGCCGGAGTCTGGAGCGGCTGGGGTATGTCCACAGACAGCCTTGAGACCAGTCACCCATGTAAAGCAGCAAAGCTAACAACGTCCAGGCTACGCGTTCCAACGCGCCTACCTCGCCCGCAAATATCAAGGCCCCGAAACCGCCCACCAGCTCTGGTCCCGCTCCGAGCTGCGCTCCTCCTCCTATGAACCCGGCACCCTGATCACGGACCACTTCGAGGTCGTCGAGAAGACCCCCAACCGCATCGTCGTGCGGTGCGGGGCGTCCCCGCGCGTGCAGGATGTCCGTCCCTCCGACGGCCTGTTTGAGATGTCGGTGGACGTGAAGCCCGACGAGGGGGTGGCGGAGTTTGGGCTCAAGAGCTGTTTCTTCCAGGGGCTGGGCACGGCCGCGGCGCAGCCGATGCCGCCGCATATTGTCTGGTTGCATCAGCAGTATACTAAGTTGTGGATGGAGACGGCTATCCGGAATGTCTTGCGGTGATTTGATGTCTTGTTTGTATATATGTATATGCCGTCTGGCGATCTAATCACTCTTGTTTATGCATGAACCCAGGAATCGATGTTTCAGAGCCAATCCCATCAGTATCCGATATCCGCCGGGGGCTGCAAGATCTATAGGCATGTTTTCTTTTCTTTTTCCGGATTTGGATTTGGATCCTGTACGTCTGGATTGTCCATGTCAGCAGCACCTAGCTCCACGGAGTACTCTGACTGAGCAGTTCATTAGCCGCGAATACAGAGGTATCATTAAGTCCATAGTTGGCAACGGACTCTAGACGAGCCCAGGAAGGTAAGGGCCCATACTGGCAGAATAATTGGTTAATGTTATGGATAGCAGATGAATCTGTCTTGAATTTGTATCTGATTTTTGGTCTACTATGAGCATGGTAGGAATAAGTGAACAATTAAGGCCTTAGTGCCTGCAGAGAGCCACAAGGTAACCAGAGGGTAGGATCTGAACGAAGGAGAACGCAAGCGCAACTGCTCTTTCTAATGTACAACAGGGGTATTGTAGGAAGGTTTCGACACCCATGGGAATGTATATTTCAAGAAAATAAAACACCACCAACCACCATCTGCTACCGTCTATGCCAGAGCAGCAATGAACATGACACCGATCAGACCTGAAATACCAACCGACATTCTGTTTGCGCCGTTGCTGAGGCCAGGAGTGAAGACGACCTCGGTCGGTGCGGTCAGTGTCGCCGATCCTGTTGCCGTGCCGGAAGCCCTTTCACCAGCTGCCGGTGACCAGGTAGCAATGGCAGTGACGGATGCAGCTGTAGAACTTCCAGTGGCTCCGAGAACGCGACGCGACGAAGTAAATGAACTGGCGCTAGAAGAGCCACCTAAAGCAGCCGCGCCGGACGAGACTGGGACAGGAATTGTGGAAGGTGGGGCAGACGCAGAGGCAATAGAGCCATGCTCTTCAGAACCGCTTTGGGCAGTGTCAGAGTCATCGAAGGATCCTGTGCTGACAGCTTGGGAGACGGGGTTCGGAGGTGTCGTAGGGATTTCAGAAAGAGCGCCTGCGGTCAGCCGGGATGCGACAGGCTCTGACTTTGTAACAGCAGCAGCGGAAGAGGCAGCGATAAAAGTTGCAACGACTTCAGCGCCAGAACTCGCGCTAGAGGCACCGTTCTTCTTGCTATCCAGGGCAGCCGCAGGTGAACTCTCCGCGACAGGGCAGATAGTGGTAGTCGATGTGACGTAGACGGTGCTCGTTGATTCTAACTCCGAATCACCGCCGTCAGCGGCAGACGCAGTGGGGCCAGCGGTGGAAGGTGTAACAGCGGGAACAGTCATGGACTCGGCAGCGGAGGTTCCTTCCTCAACTGTGTTGGTCTGAGCTGGCTGGGGAACAGCTGTTGTCTCAGCGGGGGCGGAAACGGTATGCGTCGCAGTATTTGCAGCCTGGACCGAGACCACAGTGCCTTCGACCTTGGAGGTTGTGGCTTGAGAGACAGCGGCAGACGAAGCAGCGCTGACTCCGTACTGGTAGACTTTGATGGAGTTGATCTCCCAGTAAGCCTCCTTGAATGCAGCGGGATTCTGAGCGACGTAGTTGACACAGCTCTGCAAGGGGCTGCTGGAATCGCTCATGGGACAGTTAGATTCGCCAAAAACATTACCGGCCCAGTCACCGCAAAAGGTCGTGTCAATGATGAACTTTTGTGCCTTGAAGCGCTCCGAAAAGTCGCAGGAGCCCTGCAGGTGCGCCACAGGGGTTCCGAACGAGGAGGTATCGGGGTTTCCGCTGGAAAGAGAGGCGGGAATTTGGCTGCGAGCGAAGAACCAGATCTTGAGAAAGGCGTCAGTCCACTCCATAGCATACACACCACCGCCCGCCTCATTGAAAGGATCGCCAGAGCTGCCATTGGTCCCCTTGACAACACATCCAATCGTGCCGGAAGCCTCGCCACACTGCGAGGAAGAGAGGGTGCCAGTCATGTCGTTGCTGCCCGAGACATCGCAAGTGCCACTGGTGTGAAGGACGATTTCATTTGCCTTTTGCAGGTTGACACCCTCGATGATATCAATCTCGCCGTCGTTGGGCCAGTCCTTACCGACGGACCAGAAGGCGGGCCATGTGCCGCAAATGCTGCCAGGCATGTGCTCGATATCGATGACATACAGTCCCTCCGTGTAGTACTTTTTGGATTCGATCCGTACCGACTCACGGCCGGGGCCGTTGGCGTTCAGGGTGTTCTCGTAGTCGACACCCATATAGAAGCTACCACTCGAAGTGACTTTGACCAACCCAGATTGTTCAGCGGAGCTCTGATTGACGTATGTGACATAGCCGTTAGTAGGGTCAGCTCCGTCGAAGAAATTCCAGTCATTGATGAAGCTTTCGCCCTGCCAGGACTCTGCAAGCTGGTATGTCTGCGTCTTACGAGCCTCCAGGGCTGTGGCTGAGACCAAGGATGAGGCAATGAGCGATCCTACACTCAACAAGAGCGACGAGGGAGCCATGATGCGCTCTTGAATAGTCAACAAAGGCTTGTAAGGAACGATGGAGCCTCAAGTTCGAGATGTTGAGACGAGCGATGGAGGAGATCTAGGGACACAACCGAAGGAGATTCCAGCTGATCGCTACTCAGGCGAAGAATAGAAGACAAATTGATTTCAAAGAATGGATGTGACACCGTCCAGGGTGTAGTCTAGCAATAGATGGTAAGAAAGGAAAGTGGGCAGAATCGATCTGCGATGATGAATTGAAGAATGAGAGAATGTAAAGGCCAGAGATGGGCCAGCTTAAAAGAAGAAAATAACAAAAAGGAAATGTTTCAAGATGAAGAAAAGATCAAGTATGTGAGACCATGGCAACAAAGGCAAACGGGAGATGCCAATAATATAGCAACGACGGCAGGAATGCTCGACCCATTTAGCCGCTCCTGGTCTGTGCTTGCCATTGCCTGCAAACAATAATGCCAATATTATTATTGTCACCATGGTCAATGAGCTGGCGCCCCATTATTGCCGTGGTCTCTCCCAAGGCGCCATCGACATGTCAATGCAGGCTTGGGATTGGAGGTCCCTCTGCTAGTTTGTTGTCGAGAACAGACCCAGAAGGCCGAGACGAGCCGTCATGAAATCACCCGCTTGGGGAGATGGGCATAAGGTGCGTCGTAAAGAGTGACGAATGCTGGCTGCTCAGTATGGCACATTCGTCGAGACTCGAGGTCTTTCATTTTTCCCGTTTCTAGAGTATGCAGAAGTGGGCAGCGCTAAGCCACGGCATTGGTGTGGTGGATATGTGGTCAGCAAATCTGAAACAGGTGCAGGCTTGCAGCCTCCAATAAGCATGGAGAAGTAGGTAGTTGAAACAGGAGAGAGCTTTTTTTGTCTGCAGAAAAGGACGGCTGTTTCGCAGTGTTGTGGTGAAACAGCGGCTCGCAATTGTCAATCACCATTGTCAAGTGTGCACTGATTGCCATTGTCCATAAGATTGAATGTGCTTCCGACTTTTCCTCGTCCATAGTGGTAACAGACAGAGGCAAAATAACCACAATCCACATTCTGGACATCTCAGCATGACTCGTGGGGCCTTGGAGGATGACATGCTCACTGTCGGACAGACAACTTTGCTGACATTGCCATGAATCAACAATTGATACACCTGGCGAGTGGCAATTGAGAATACTTCTCGTCAGGATGTCAGGAACGGGCATTACAACCAATCAATGGCTTGATCGACACGCTGAGTCTAGACTCTTTAGTGGAGCGACCGACCGGACGCCGTCGGTCTTGGGTGGATATACGCGAAGCCGTCCATCTCACCGGGGAGACGGACGACATGTGAAAGAGGCTGGCAATTGGCATTTTCATTCAATGAGATGGCGGCAGTGAAAGGAAGTCAAATTCCTGTGGATGATCGAAGTACGACTATCCAATGAGGTGTTAGTGATTCGCGCAGCGGGAGGACGGGCGACGATCTCATCAAATTGAGGAATTTGGCGACGAGGATAAACATCACGTGATACCGCTGGACTCGAAGCGTCCATCAGCCACAGGAACTATACAGCCACAAGTGACAACAGGAGACTGGAATGACTATCCAGATAGAAAGTGCTGTCCTGAGAGGGAAACCAGTATCCTGACGTTATACTACATAATTTGAGTATCGCGTTCAATGACTAGGTAGTTTTGAAATAATTTACACCACAGTGGGTCTCTCTAGTCATATGTTGACACCTTCCCAGTCATCTTGAAAATTAATTGGCAAAGCAGCCATGTGGATAACATTAGTCTTAAGTTCGTGGAATCTTTGTAGAATCCAGCTCTCTGTTACGGTAGTAAATCTTGCCACATATTCTGTGACATACCGCAATGGTTTCGGACTTTCGTGGATCCTTATGCCAGATCATGGCAGCCACCCAAATGCTTTTTGCAGCGTCCTGACTAGATGATGGGCTGGATAGGTAGTTCCACATTCCTTATGAACACATAGCTACATGAAGGGCTGCTTCCACATCCTTACGACGGAAACCCGGCGTCCGACCAAGGCAGACACCCGTCTTCAACAGTTCTATCGTTCGTCAGTAGTATGACAACGCCGGAAACAGGAACAGATGCTGACCTTGAATTAAACGTGCCGCGTTCACAACCTTTCGATCATAACTGGAATTGTTTGTATCGCCCACAACAAATGCCACTTCATTTTCCAGGAGAAATCCCTCTAGATCCTGTATATCAAACCACTCACCGTCAAGCTCATGCTGGACCGCCTGCGGTAGCTCTGATGTGGGATCTTGGATGTTCTCCCATCGTGGTAGGGTTTCGGTTGAGCTTCCCTTCGTCTTGCGAGGATAATGGGTACCAGCACCACCGATTTTGAAGTAGGGTATCTCTTTCCACTCATCCAGGCGCTTCCGGCTGGCTTTCGCATGCAAGCAGGCTTCAAAGTAAGAGGTTACGCGTTTCCTATCCATCAAGCGAAGAAGGAATCGAAAAGGTCTCTGCAGATTGTCCATGCTAATAGAGGCATCGCTGAGGGCTGAGTACCCTTCATAGAGACATGCAAAATGAAGTCGTTCGATAAACGCGCTCAGCTCCAGGGAAGGTGCCTCGGGGGAATACTGATCTTCTGACATTCCTTTGAAGCCGGCAGCGTATAGTGTCCCCGAATTTTCGTTTTCAATAGATTCTTTATAAGGAGGCGATGTTGCGAGAGAAGTCTGCCTGCGCTGGGGCTCCTTTTCCTCTGATGAGTGGCTTCCTTCGCTGGGTGATGATAAGTTTGTAGCAATGTTTTGATCGCTTGTCATGTTGGCTGCTCTTGCTAAAGAGAGACAAAGCTGTACTGTGTCCCGTAAACGGCCGGTCAACCGAGGATCAGATGCCAACACCTCGGATTGGATCAGCTCATCGCTAAATGATAAAAAGGCCGCGCTGATCTGCTCCACGGCAGTCTCAAGCTTAAGTACGCGGCTTTGGAGGGAAGAAACGCCGGCTTCCTTGCGGGAACGATATGCCCGCTGTGCTAGTCGAATTTGCATTCGACGTCGCTGCCCAGTCAGCTTGATAAGAAAAATGCTAACTAGCGCCAGCTAAGTTGAGTGTCGACGCACCTCATGAGGATCTTCTCCTTCTCCAGCTGACTTGCGAGGTCGCCCTCTTTTTCTTGAGAGCGAGCAATCCGTGGGATCGATATCTGTTCTGGTTCGTTTCGAGGACTTATGTTTCGACCCTTCGGGCTGCTGATCCCCACCAGGCGGATCTTCCAGATAAAAGCCGCCGTAAAGCTGCGTTCGAGGTTGAGGTGTCGTTGTTTGCGGACTAATAGAGCGTTCTGGGAGTAAGTATGAGGATGCAGACAGAAGCGAAGTGATTTTGTGAGCACCCAGGAGATCCGGTACAGACGGTCGACTGCGGCTGGATAGTACTAGATTCTGATGGACCTCCTCCCATGTCAGTAAGGGAAACTCCTGCTCAGACATCCTAGATCTGTTGGGATCGTCTTCAACATATATCTTTCAGGTTGAGATATGAGCTACGGAACTATGACATGAGCTCAATGAAACTGTGGTAAAAGTCAGTCATGCAACGAAGGTAACTGATGGAAAGTGATCAATATGATTCTTTCTCTGAGTCGCCATGATAAAGTCTGACAGTCTCATCAGCTGGATGATCCCCCCATTAGGAAGTGGCTTGATTGGTTTGTCGTCGTATGGAGCCTCGGCTCGATCACTAATCACAAAAAGACCCTCCACCTTACCAAAGTGCAACAGCAGGCTTTCCCCTTTACGAGTGATGATCTCCTGCAGCCATGCCATTCCTCGACGGGCTTTGATATAAACCCCTTGAATTGACGTCTTTGATTGATGGAAGGGCCAATCACAGCTTTCCACTGTTGTCTTGGATCTCCTCAGATGAATGGTCGAATGCGGCATCGATCTAGATTCATGTGCCGAGACCGAGTCTCATGGAGCTTTTTCTGTCGCCAGGTCGTATGGCAGGAACTCCAGCAAATCCTGCGGTGATATGATTCCTCTCGAAGGTTGTTCACTGAGGTGGTTCAAATATCCAGTCTCTGCGAGAGATGAAGGGCATGAGTAAGGTGGGGGCCTGGGGCACCACAACGCTAAGACAAGCAAAGCAATCATCATCGCAAGTGCGTAGATGTCTATCGACACTTCGCATCTCAAGGCTAAACACGATCTACTCTGGTTGCTATCAACATGGTCATTGTAGCTGTCGCCGGTGGAACCGGGGGAGTTGGTAAAACAATTGTTGAAAGCTTGGCGGGGCATTCCCAGCACCAAGTCATAGTGTTGACTCGCAGCGTAAGTGCCGCGGCAGCTTATCTTGGATGGGTTGATCCAGTCTCATCGTTTGATCCAGGAACCCAGGTCAGATCATGTTTTGGATAGGACTCGACAAGTGCAGGTGGACTACGATGATATTCCCTCTCTTGTCCAGGTCCTGGAGCAGCATGCTATCCATACCATCATATCCGCAATTGGGATCTTCGATGCCACGACCAGTCAATCTCAGTTAAACCTCATCCAGGCTGCGGAGAAATCCAGCGTCACAAAAAGATTTGTTCCTAGCGAGTATTCTTTTATTCAAACCAAGGAGTATTTTCCCTCTTGTTGATGGATTGTTGCTGTTATCATTCTAATTCGACGTCACCAGTCTCCTCCCCATTGACCCCAGCATTCAACATTGGCTCGATGCCGCTGAGCTTCTCCAGAAAAGCCACCTTCAGTACACGCGGGTCATACCTGGCTTCTTCATGGACTACTGGGGCATGCCTGTGGTGCACACGAATCTCACGCCCTGCACGTTTGGCATCAACATCCAGCACTGTCAGGCTGCCATCCCAGGCGACGGAAATGACGTAATCTGCATGACCTACACATATGATATGGCAGCGTTTCTGGTCAGATTACTGGATGTTGAGATTACTGGATGTTGAGGACTGGCCTGAATTCAGCATTGTTGTTGGCGACGAGGTCACGTACAATCAGCTTCTGGAGATGGCCGAGGAGATTCGAGGTCAGTGATTCCGTTCCTTATTTCGCGTTTCTTAACTAAACCAATGCAGGTCAGAAGTTCCAGGTCACTTACGACAGTAAAGAAAGTATCAAGGACGGTCGGGTTACCATTCCTCCAATGCCCGAAGGAAATCCCTACTCCCCAGAGGATCTACAAGAGATGACCGCCTTGGTGAGCCGACTGACGATAGCCGGTGTTTTCAACCTACCAGATCAAAATCGTGTGAACGGCAGATTCCCTGACATACAACCAGTAAAGATGAGGCAATTCCTACAAGATGCGTGGAGCAACTACAAAGGGACCAAATAGAATTCGCAAAAACATTTGAATTAATATACAAGTGTCATCGGTTGCATACATCGCATCAATTCGTGACAGCGCTCAACTCTGGCACGGCCGCACAGCATTAAGACACGCGCTTTGTACCGGAGACACCAGAGTCTCCATATCTCACAGCATCAGGTAGATCGTCTTCGCCGGGGCCCTCATTGTACTTGTTCGCAGTCTGGGGCTTTGCATGACGCAGCCGATCACCGCGCAAAATGTTGCTCTTATCAATGGCCTCTCTCTCGTCGTCGGCTGGCGGGGCACACTTGGTCAGTCGCTCAGAACCAACATGGTTCCTGAAGTAGAGTACGTACCAAGCTGCTGGTCCGTGTTCGAGTAGGGAGGCTGCATGGGATCCTCGTAGTCGGCCTGATCGGGCTGAACGGGGACCTGGTTGCGGAGCTCAGGACGTGTCTCGCCGACGTAGGAGTTGTCGACAACGTCGGCTGAGACGGGCGAGGTGTCATTCTCGGCCTCGTAGTTGTCCTCGGCTTCTCTTTCAGCACGGTTGGACATCTTGCCTATAGTTTATCGTAGAATGCTGGTGGTAGAGACGTTGCAGTAGAACAAATTTGCAGGCGTGGTGGCAGAGTGGATGGGTTGCTAGTGATGCACCGATGACAATGCTCGGGATACCGTGGGTATATATGTGTTTCCAGAGTTCCGCGAGTCCCAGCATCGCCATCCTGACATCAAGCTGTTGTCAAGGTGTTGTAATGCTGGACGTTGAGTTTCCGATTGAGTTCTGAGGCATCCGTTGGCACGTCCACCGAGGCCTACGGCTAACCACCTCAAGCTTTCATATTCAAGGTTCCATCTAGTGGGGGATCTACAGACAAACTGCGGGTACATCGATCACCTAGACCAGTTGCCAATAAGATCGGTTCAATATCAACACCTGGTTTCCGACATTGATCGTAGCTGGATACAGAATCGAGCAACAGCAATGCGATACCATATCATACGATGCGTATCGTCTGAGCTCATCATCAATCTGATCGATCAATCCTAATTCCCATACCCAGCTTATAACGGACACAACCAGACAAGCAACACCCATCTCCAGTTGAAGGTGGCGATATGACGCATCTCTACCATCAACCCGGACTCACTCCCCGGCCAGACCTAACCAACACATAATAATCTCCAATAACCACTTCTCCGGGAGGAAAGGTATCCACACCAGAAACCTGTTTAGTGCCTAAACCTGCCAGGGTGTAAGATAGTGTTTCGATGCCGCAGTTGACATATCAATATCAAACTCGTCGGATCATCATCTCCATCTCCACCAAACCAACCAACCAATCAGAGACAACATCAACAATGTCATATTCAAGGGAAAACAACGAAGTCTCCGCTTCTGGCGAGGACAGGGTGAATGCTATGCGCGGCTACAAGGCGTGAGTTCGAGTCCTGTCCGCAGTCACCCCATGGATCCGGATAATCTGATGCTGGTGAAGTACGCTCAAGAATCCCCGCACCTCGGACGAAGCAAAGCAGCACGCCAAGGATGTGCTAGATAATGAGCTCCATGGGGACCAGCCGCGGCATGATCTGTATGCTATCCGGCAGCAGAATAAAGAGCCGAATCGAGTGGCGGGTGGGCTGAAGGCGTGAGTATACATGACTTGAGAAGAAATGGAGACGTTGGCTGATGTGGGGTTTAGTGCGCAGAGGAATCCGCGGGTGAAGCCGAGAGGAAAAGAGAGCGCTGGGGAGAAATTGGATGCGTTGGGACGGGCGAGGGATGAGCAGGCGCAGCAGGACCAGGAGCAGGCGCAGCCGGAGGAGTAGATGTTGTATTTTAGTTCTAGATTGAGATGTATAGACTTTCATAGAGTTGCGTTGTTACTACTCTTAATCTTGCACAGTCTGGAAAGGCTCCATAACAGCGATTCTATTCTAGTCTTTCTTTCTATCTATTCAGATGATGGATTGGGATTGATCACATCATCAGGCCATTTGCGGAACATATCCGCTAGATGGTCAATTGGTGCAGCCAGTAGCCCTACCACCGTCTCGAAAGGAGGTTTGTTCGGGGTGTTGGGATGCGACCGGGTGGGAACGAACATCTTGGTTCGACCGAACGACTTGGACAGGCTCTCACTCTCTTTAGGGGTGATTGCGCTCTCCAGCTTGACAAAGTGAATGGTTTCCTCTTCTTCGATGTGCTTGGCCAGGTCCGTCATCATCGACTTGAGCGTCGGCATGAAGGCTGGATCGGAGGGGTGCATGTCCTGGAACTTTTGAAGCTTTTCTTTGATCTGTACAGCAATCAGTGTCATGGCAGAAGATAGACTAGCAGATTGTGCTAGTACCGTCTGATGCTCATCACGGTCCTTATCGGCCGTCTCAGTGCCATCTCGGAGATGTTTCTCCAGGGCAGGATACACGACCAGCTCTTCACCTATCGCATGGCGGGCGAGTTCCCAGGTGAACTTGTTCTGGAAGCGGATTTGCTCATCGGTATCTCCGGAGCTCACGATGATGTTGTAGTATTCTTCAAGCTCTCGGTGGTCCTTTTTGATCGCATCCATAAGGGGGGCCATGTTGACTGTTTAGAATTAACGATTGCTCAGGTACGGTGGCATGCATATTGACATTTCGTATTCAGGAATAGAACTGTATTAAAAGACCCTCGATGAAAATGCCCTATGTCGCGACCATGGGATTCTGGCACAATGTAAACATCACGACACCAACAACTGAGCATTAGGAAATCCGTTGCCTGGTAGTCATAAAGTTGTTGATAGTATCCTCTTGGTCCCGGTTCCCATCGCAGACAGTCTTTGCTTGGCCCCTGGTCCAAATCACGATCATGGAATGCTGGTCATTGGGCAGTAAGCTGTGACTGATACTAAGGTACCTTACCTATGACAGCGAGTCAGGGCTTCGCCTGCGATTGGAGGCATTGAAGCAAGGGAAATGCTCGGATCGACGGAGGAGTGGCGCTTTTGGGCGCTTGTCATGGTTACACGGACAGGCAAAATCCAGCGAATTGGGCCCTGAGGCTGGATACTTGGTCGTAATCCCAGAACGACCACAAAGTGTTACGATCCTCAGACTGCCAGAGTCATGAAGAGCTTTGGTGTGCACATTGGATCTCAGCGGAAGGGTTGACAGCCTGGGCAGTGGGCACAGCCGCACAGGTACACGGAAACCCCACCATCCCATGATTCCCATCCATGGAAGGATTGGCGACTTGGGAACAATCCTGGCCAACCGGGGCTTTACCCCGAGAGTCTAGAATGGATCGATGACTGATTGACGGGGGCTGTTTGTTCTCCGCTCATTCCTTTCAGTCTAGACTACATGACGCTAATCATAATCTCTCAAAGAGTCAGCCTGTCAGCCAAAGCTACATCCTTGGTCTTTGTTGCTTCCTTGGAACGGATGCAGAACGATGCCTCTGACGTAATTCGGATGTATGACCCGCCTGTCATTCGACGTTCCTTGAGTGCGATGTGTTGGCGGCAAGAACCGGTGCCTGACAGAACACACACTCAATCTGGCTATGGCTGTGGGTAGTAATGCATGCGATATTCGTGTTGCTTTCCTATTGTTTGTGCGTTGGCATTCCGGACGCGGTGGGGTCCAAATTGTCCCGTTCAGCGTTATTGGTATGACTACGGACGCCTTGGTAGACACCTACTATATTTGGCACTATTTCCCCCGCGCCCTCTGGGGCTGGAAATTATATCCAGATGATACTTCCTGTTCTTGATAAGAGGTGTTTTGATCTCAGCCGAGTTTCAAAGTCGTCCAAGTTTGGTCTTGTGCCTTGAGTTGAGCCATCGCGTGACGGATCACATTCTCTCATTTGTCACATTTGGCGCATATGCAGCTGCTGCCTGTTCGATCGATTTAGAAAAAGAGCCGATCTAAATATCTGAGCGCCGCTGATCATTCGACATGGCGACTACATATGCATATGAAAGGTGAGTCGCGAATCCTCAAACCCCGTCCTCCTATTCCCCAGGATCTCAACTAAATGTTATATTCTGTCTCCCAGATTCCCTTTTCACGAACCCGGATCAGGACCAGACTCCCATCTGACAACAACAACAACAATACCTGAGAGCTTAGTGGTCGGAAACTCTACAGCATACGAACCACACCACCATAACGGTCTACGAAGGTCCAGCATGGGGAAATGCCTCTTACAATGGTTCTGGTCAACACTGATGATCGACGGCTCAAGCACACAGGATAGCCAGGCTAAGCCCTCGAATCCTCGACATGGCGAGCATCATACCCAGACTCGAAAGGCTAGCACATTCACTACACCAGAAACCTCTACGGCTGATGGGAGGGGACTGCAGGAGCAGTGTCATGATAATACGGACGAGGAGAATCCCGCATGTAAAGCCTGTCGAACATGGGGGGTAGCTTGTGACAGGCAGCAACCGCGATGCTCGCACTGCCTTGATCAACAGATTTTATGCTTCTATGTGGCACCGTTACGAAAGACGATGAAGAAATCGAGCCGGTCTCGAGCATCGCAACAAGGAACAGGAACAGGAACGCCAATGCAGTTGCAGCAGCAAAGTTGCTGCTGAATGGATGATACAGCCAATTCAATAAGTGAATTGACAATTTAAATAGAGAATTACTCTCTTTTTGTCACTGGCGATGCGTACGTAGCGTGCCACGGCGATCATTTTGAAGTCCCCAGTTTAGATAAAGTTATCGCAGGGGAGCATCTCCTCCGCACAAAGCGGGGGAATGCACCTGGATCCTGGTACATGCATCGTGATGCATGCAGCGGCAATTGGACTTAACCTCCAGATATTCACGATTCCTTTCAGAAATGGCGCAATCGGTGTTCCTGAGCACAGTGATGATCGGCAAGATGACAGTTTTTCGTTTATATGTGAGCCCGTTCTCATCTCCACTTCCACGGAGCAGCATGCCCCGAGATGATTTGCCACGAGCCCACGACACCCCTCAGACCATAAAGTACATGAAGTTCTTTTGTCGCA